GATCGCTGCTTTTCCCTCTGCACTTGGTTATCAGAGTGGATCTTATATGTGTGCTCTCTTTCTGCAGTTAATCTTTCTGTTTAAGTCCTCTATGATTCCTGAATGCATTTACTGTATGGTGGACCTGGTCTCACATTAAGCATGTAGGATTCCAACAAAACTCTCTATGTTTTGACATAATCATATATATATATTTTAAATGTTTTTAATTTGGCAGAGCATGGCCTGAGGACAACAGGAGCTCAGCATGAACAGGATCTGCCTGGATGATCAAATAATGTAATATTATTTGTTGCTGCTGAGGTCTGTGAAGCTTAGCTGACATGTTAGGACTTCCAGATAATGTAACAGAGACTGCTGGGAGTTTTTAAAGTTGAACTTCAATAGTTGGTAAAACTAATTATCAACTGTGTAATAGAAAAAAGGGATGGTGTGTTCATACGCCATACTAAACTGAACATATTTGTATATAAAGAAAAAGATCAATATTTGACCCTTCAGCGACCCCACAGGTCAGGGGAGTGGGTGAGGCTGAAAATTCACAGAGGCTCAGAGAAGAAATGCTTCTGCTCATCAAGTATTACTTGAATAAACACAGAGTGAGACCTTAAATATTGCACACTGTGCCAAATAATACAGGATACTTTGATCTCTAAATTGCTCTGGATGGAACAGCAACAGACCCTAATGCTTCTAAATGGGATGAAAACAGCAATTTTCAAATACTTTTACTTACTTTAATCCAGTGGATCCGAAACTGTGGGGCTGCTCCCCTACAGGGGGTGTAGAGCCAATGTATTAGGGAGGCATGGATGACCATGGGAAAAATATAATTCTAATAAATATGATTTATGTAAACAAGAATTTGCTGAGGCTATAGTGCTAAACTTTGTTTCACTAAAACTTAATCGGAAGCATTTTTTATTATTAAAGGCTGATATAAGAAATTGTAGGTTGGAGGCATGAAAAATTACTGCCTTACTCGGTCTTTGTACAACAGCATTCATTCCTTTGAGGCCACAGCCATGCTCAATAATAAATAATTACTCTTATTAAAAGCTACTGGCTGCCAAATGCAATTACCTAGATTTGAAATGGTTCCACATTCATTTAGATGTGTAGAAGGAGACAGGAGGACAACGGGAGTAATTGTACATTTCAACTAAGGTATGCAGAAGAGCATCTCTGAATGCATAACATGTCAAACCTTAAAGCAGATGAACTAAAGCAGCAGAAGACCACAACGGGTGCCACTCCTGTCGGGTAAGAACAGGAGACTGAAGCTACAATTCAGACAGCTCACCAAAACTGGTCAGTAGAAGAGTAGAAACTACTGCCTGCTCTGTTACAACATTCAGATGGCAGGGTCAGAACTCGGCATAAACAACATGGATCCATGCTGGCTTGTGTTGGCAGTTGCTGGTGGTGTAGTGGTGTGAGTATTGTCCATCATGTCCATCCCTTTATGATCACATTACTCATCTTCTTATGGCTGCTGCCAGCTGGATAAGTCAGTCTGGTTTCTTGAATGTGATGAGTTCACTGCACTCGAGTGATCTAGGTAATCCCCAGATCTCAATCTAATAGATAGAAAAATAGAGAAAGAGATCAAAATCTCTGAGAAATGTTTCCAGCACAGTGTTGAATTTATTGGCTGGTGAATGCATGTTATAAACTAGAATGTCAATCGTGGTTAGGTCCATCACAATTGATGATCCATCACACAGTGAAATGCAAATGAGTGAAATGCAAAAAGTATTTTTAGTTATAAGTTATAACCTTTTCTTGTCATTGGCTGGCTGTGTTCCATAAACTCATTATTAAAATCCATTGTGCGCCTCACTGACGTTTCAAAGAGTCATTTCCAGGACCAAATATCAACACCTTACCAGTAATTTAGGAGGAGTAGCAATTCTCATGAAAATGGAAAAGTACCCGTAAAACAGCCAGTATGACCTTGACCACAAGCACAAGTTGGGTAAACCCCCACTAGGTGGTCCTTGTTTGCAACTTTCACTAAAACCTGACCATCCTGTGAGGAGTATTGATTTATTGTGAATTGACGAGGAACAGACAGATGGATGGGTCGATGATGGATACATCGCAATCGCATAAGCTCATCGGTCCTCCAGTCAGATGAGCTGGTGATTGATTTGCTCAAGGTTAGGCAGCAGCAGGTGTACAGGGACAGTTTTACCAGGATGCTGGGCTTTTTTTTCTTTTCTTGAGATGCAGCCCCTCACGTCATCACCTGTTATCCCATCAACACTTGTCGTAATCCATGCTTAGTCATATGTAAGTTCATAATTATTTGAGCGCTAATGCTCTTGAGTACACACACGCCAGCGATGACTCAGTGTATTATTCTGACAATGCAGACTGCCCAGATGGTAGTCACAGGAAAGCTGCACAATGGACTCTAGAGCGGAAGCCGTGAATGAGAGAGAAGAGAGCCGGTCTGAGAAACAGTGTGTAGGATAAAAAACATTAAATGTGACACTGGCTCCCCATGGATTTCGTGCATTATTAAAAGATTAGGAATTCTGGGATAATTTCCTAGAGAGGTGTTAGTATGAGGCCAACTTTGATCTTTTGTTTCTGTGACCACTTTACATGTGGATGAGAGTTCCTGAATGTAAACTCTCATCCACATATGCCTTATTTCATCACCAACACCTTAAGGAAAACTATAAGATCAAGGAGTTGTTTTTGACATTGTGTTTGTGGTGAGGTGGATATGAGTGAAGGACACTGCAGAAATAAACACGGTGACGGCCAAAGTGACTCAAGGGGAAAAGGCACAGGAAAAATGGGGCGATAAAGAAAAGCCTGGAGAACTGGGGCTATTTTGGGCTCGGCGGGCTTCCTGCAGGTGATGGAAATGAAAGAAAGATTTCTGGAACAATTGCTCAGCAGCAAGTGAACTGAGGGAGGAGAAAGATGGAGGAGGAGGAGGAGGAGTGGGGGGCTGTAGAGCAACAAGTGAACATAAGAATCGATGTAAACATCACAGAAGGTCACCTTAAGTTTAAGTCCAACGTTGTGTTTGGACGCCTTGTTTAAAGATTGTTTATGCTGGCATCACAGCTCTTTTAAGTAGGGAATAAAAAAGTGTGTGTTTGTTTGTGTGTGTGTGAGTTCATTTGGCAGTATAGTCAGTGCGTTACAGACACACCCCCTCATCCCACCATCACACTATAAAGGACCAGGGTTAGAAAGGGATGACAGAGTCAGACATCCAACAACCAGCAAGTTGTGTTGGTTTACTCAACAAGCCACAGCAGGTTTTAAGCTCTCCTTTTGCGGTAAGCATCTTTTGAGATAAATTTTTATACGATTCTAAAAGCTCTCTGAACACATAATTATTATTATCTCATTTGACTTTTATGGTTAAATCATTTTGTGCTTTTTCAACAGTTGGGTCAGAAGAGCATTTTTTCTTTAGCACCACACTTAATTATTCTTTCTATTAAATTGTAGGGCAGTGCGTTATGGAGATAGCTGTTCTGTTGCTGCTGACTGTCCCTTTGACTGCTGCCTCCCCACTGAGACGAACTCAAAGGTGAGTGAAAAGACACAGGGGACCACACAGCTCACAATGGCACAGATAATGAAGTATCACTCTCTACCAGTAGAAACGCAACATCAAAGCATGCTTGGGATGGCGGGAAATTAAAAAAGTGTTTAAAGCAGAGCTTCTTATTAGTGTATCTCTAAGTTATATTATTGTAAATTATAGGTTACTTAATAAATTCCATATTCTGTTGGAAACACAGGTCAGACGCAGACGTCGTCCTACCAGGAGCAGCGGTCCGAGATGTAGGAGGGGAAATGTCAGAGGACACACACAAGCACCATGCTCCATTACTGAAGATCATCCCATTCACCTCAGAGAACAAACATCTGGACCTGGAGGCTCTGAGACACAGGTACAAAGGACGTGACAACGTGCTGAGAGTGGCTGTCAACTTCATTCAAAACTGCATTTTTTAATATGTGATGTTCTGCACGCTTGAGTTTGATGTTCACCCTTCCCATTTTCATCACGACAGCATGGGCCTGAAGCCACGACTGCCGCGTGCAGTTCAGCGTGGATGCCAGCTCGGGACATGCCAGCTTCACAACTTAGCCAGCACTTTATACCACTTCAGCAAAGGAAGCGGAAAGGAGGAATCAAAGAAGGCAAAAGATCCACAGGGCTACGGCAGATAGGACCAAAAGGAATGTCAGCAATTAAGGACCGAAGGGGTGGAGAGCTGCCCACATAGTTTTCCATCTACTGAAAACCAAATATCTCTATGTCTGCTCTGACTGACTGGTACTTATTAGAAATGTATGCTCGCAAATGGCGTTGATTTTTGTGTCTTGTGTGAAACGCGCGTTTTATACTTTAAATATGTAAATATTTAAATATGATATGCAATAAATATTTAAGAGAATTAAGTTTGTGGTGTTTATGTATAGTCTTAAAGGAAAAGTATAGTGCAATCTTACAGGTATAAAACCTACATGATCACCTCTCATACAGAGCCTTTGAAATGGTACAGAGGACAACTATGAGACATCTATAAATTCTAGAAAGATGAAGCAATGACCTGAATTTCAGATGAACAAGACTGTAATTTGCCTCTGAAATAAAACCCCTGCAGGCAGGATTTTTTGTTGTTCATTCTATTGTTCTTTTTACTTCTGAGGGAAGTGAGCACCACAGAAACACATACCTAACAGGTTCTACTACAAATGTGTTATATTTTTAGGCTCCAGTAACAATTAGAGGACACAAGCTTGGGCATGTTTAGCAGTCTTTCTGCTACAGTGGTGTCATTGAGGGTATTCAGTTCCAACAACAGATAAGTGACCAGATAAGGGGATGAGGAAGTATTTCAATAAACTCTAGCTCACTTTGTGGTTCTGACTGGCCCTTCCTGTTTGCATGCTTTGGTGTATTTGTCTGTCTCTGTGAAACCACACCCTTACCTGTGTGCTGGCTGCACCTATTTTTCTTTGCGCACGCCGAGTGAGTGCAGTGGCAGGGAATGGGGTTTCAGCAGTAGGAGACAAGGTGGAAAATAGTCAGAAAGAAACCCTTTTAGTCCTTCCGCATATGTTTCTCACTGAGAACGACTGAAAGGAAAACATGAAAGACACAGGAGCAGAAGAAGGAGGAGGAGGCGACGGCAGAGACAATATTGGCCAAACTGAGAAGAGCCAGGTGGGTTAGATTTCACTCAAGTCCTTCAGCTGCTGTTGTGATGCTATAGTGGTGCTTTGGCAAAGTGCCGCTACATTTTTTGGAAGTGGAAGTTAACGCTATACTCGGAACTTCTGCCCATGAAGTTCCGAGGAATTGCAGTGAGCCGCCCATAGTCTTCTTGGAAAAACACGTCGTGCAACAGCTGTCCAAACGTGCACGTTTGCGCGAACGACTGCAGGAGCTATTCGTCTGCTTTGTTTCCGCTGTGGTTTGTTGACTCTGCACTTGTCTAACCGGTGGACGTTACAGCGTTAACAACTGGGAACGGCTTTTCCAATCATTTCTGACGCAGCAGTCTACTTTTTTTTTTTTTTTTTGGCTTAGCGGTAAAAATGGGAAACACGCCACTTATAAGAAACTAACTTATGTCTACTAAGCCGAGCATCCTAACCATCAGCAGCTAAATAAGCGCTCCGGTGATAGTTAATGATGACTGCGTTCCGTTTAGCTGCATCAGTTGCAGGACTCTAGACGAGGCGTCAGCTGCTACTACTATAAATGCAATGGGGCCATCATGTTTTTTTTCCCTCAGTTAAACGGCCTGTGGGGAAGGTGTTCTCTCTTTACTGCTTGGCTGATAACATTACAGAAAGATTAGCACTGAATACATTGGTGAAAACAAAATGTAATGTAGCCCCGCTGCAGAATATGCTTATGCACAGCCTGCCTGTTGCACACACCTGAGCTCAAACTACGTCACATCATCAGAAATCACAGTCTGGTGTTTATGCACAGCACAGCTCGCCAACTTGTTACTGGGTAGTTTCTTTTTGCCAAAGTCAACACTTGGACGGTTTTCTGCACCCTGCTGCCACATGCATGAGATTTTAGGATTCAGAATTGAATCAGCTTCTGTAATAATTCAGTAATGTTATATAACTGCTGAAAAATGCTTTCAGAGTTGGATCCCCAAAATTATCAAGAAAAGAGTGTGCAGCACTTTTGTAGAAGATTCCGTCAGGTACTGTGACCTCTGTCTTTTAATAACAGCACGTGTGTTTTGAGTAACTTCTCATGGTGATGTTTTTATCCCTCCACCTCTCTCAGTAATGGCGCATTGTGTCAGTGCGGGGCTGCGAGAGATGACCATGCCTCTGTGGCTCTTGGAGACTATTTCAGCACAGCCATCGTGAACCAGTGGAAAAGTGTGCAGCACTCCTCCGAAAGACCGACAGATGCCTTTGGAGAGGTGCAGTTTGCAGGGGCCAGCAAGAGGCACAGCCATGTGGGTGCTTTTATTTTTCTCTCATAATGTTTGAATGCTTTATTTCAAGAGCCTGAGAGTTCTTGAACACGTGTACATGTTTTTAAAAGAAATGCCTCCAAAGGTGAGTTAAATAAAGGTTAAGATAAACCCTGAGCCGTAGTAGTCAATTCGTTGAATTTTCCTGACCTTCAGTCTACCTCCGCTCCACCTGAGTAAACAGAGTCAAAAGTCAGTACAGATCACATGACAAGCTTCTTTTTTTTTCCCATTTTATTACCATTACCAAGGTTGAAACGACTGAGTCGTTCAGCTTTAATACTAGTGTGATCACAGGCCATTACTTTTCAAATCTTTTTGCATTGTTGACATGGGCGTGCTTCTTTTAATCCATCAAATGTCTAAACTTAGTTTCTGCGTCTGTCATGGAGCACTGAGCCTTCTATGGTGTACACCATACTGACAGCTCATTGGCGTCTTCCTCTACCCAACCTGGTTGTTTCTGTTGTGGGCGGAGAGGGAAGGACACAGGTGAAGACCTGGGTACGGGAGGTCCTCAGACAGGGACTGGTGAAAGCATCACAAAGCACAGGTAAAAACTTTATGCATCTGCCAGTGTGTCAGTGCTCCTGGCATGTGTGATGTGTCTGGCATATCTGAGCTGAGCATCTTATTTCTGTTCTGGTTGCTGAAGTGGGTTATTGTTGGTTAGCAGATGTCATGATAATTTCCAGATGGCGATAAAAGAACTGACAAATTATCCTGTCAGACATTGAAACCTACTCATGGTGGTTTTAGCGGGAAGAATACAGCTATTACAAAATTCAGTCTCAACACACAACACGACTCCCTGGGGTCCGGTCCTAATTTGGTAGTACAATGGCCATTTCCTCTCTGGCTACTGTACCAAGTGCAGGTGGCATATGGCGATACTGATCTCCCCGTCGTCTGAGGTCACTCGCTGTTTTCTCAAAACAAGTCCAAGACGTACTGAAAAAAAATCAAAGCCCCAAACAAAACATGCACACAAAGATGCAAGTAACTACACGGCTCACACTCCCTAAACATCTTTGTTATATAAGACATAATACAGGGCGTGGCACCATATTTGGTGTTAAAACCCGTTGTATATGAAAACATGTTTTACGCATGTCTGTGGCCTTTGTAGTCTTTTTTTTTTTTGTTTTTATTTTTTTTCCGGTTAATTTTTTTTGATTTTGTTCTTTGCTTTTTTTTGTTTTTGGTTTTTTTTTTCGGGGTTCATTATTTTGTTTTGGTTCCTTTTTTTTTTTTTCTGTTTTTGTTGCCCGGTTTTTCAGTTTTCTTTGTTTTTTTTTTTTTTAATTTTTTTTTTTTACCCTTGACCCTAACTGTGTTAAAACTTGAGTAAAATATGAAACACATTTAAAACTTTTGACATGACCTTTGTTTGTTCATGCTTAGAGAAACAGCAGACCCTGTAATAAATTGTTGGCAATCTTAGCTGTAAACCCCCCACAAAAAACAAAACAAATTGAGATGCAGTGCAATGTTTAAATAAAACAGAATCCAGTGATTTGCAAAGTTACATAAAGTTATATTTTATTCACTGAAGAAAATTGAAATAAAAATCAGATTTTTCACCTGTTTCCCCCAGGTGCATGGATCTTAACTACAGGTCTGCGTGAAGGCGTTGGCAGGTGTGTTGGGCAGGCAGTGAGAGATCATGCAACTGCAGCTTCTTCATTCTCACTCAACAAGGTGGTAGCGTTGGGCATTGCTCCATGGGGCCTTGTGGAAAAACGAGAGCAGCTGGTCAACCCTCAGGTAGTACAGACTCTCACACATTTGCACATTTCTCTAAGCATTAAATCACATCTTGTTGTCTTTGTGGAAAAGGAAGACAATTTGTCACACTGTCCGTGTTGATTTGTCAGGTTTTATTGGGTGAACACACTGTTTGCAGTTCTTGCTGCAATTTAAAATAACTAAGGCTGAAATGTGGAAAGAAACGCTGGAATAACAGTTTTTTCTTCTTTTGCAGGGAAGCTTTCCAGCAAAGTACTATGTCCAAAACATTTCCCAGGACTCCTGCTCCCTGGATAACAACTACCAGGCCTTCCTCCTCGTGGACGATGGCAGTGTGGGCCGCAGAGGAGGAGAAACAGATTTCAGAGCCAGATTGGAGGAATACATTTCCCAGCAGCGCACAGGGAGATGGGGTCAGAGATGGTACCATAAACTATGAAGTACAACATTTATAGCCTCTGAATTAAAGCAGAAACTATACTTGAGTACACATTATCTTCCACTCATGTATTCAGTTTAAGTTAACTGATTTAAATCTAATTGTACTAAATGAGACTTAACTCCTGTACCATTATTCCCAAAATACATCCTTTCAGAGTTAATTTTGATCTTTACAGGATTTACATGTTCCTTTGTGTTTTGGTTGAATGATTTTTTTGGCATCTACAGGAGGAAAGCCATTGCATGTGACTGCATGTATTTTACAGTTAACAACACTTCCATTCAAGTAAAACAAAAACATCCACAGGGTGCTCTTTGTATGAGTGTCAGCTGTTGTGCTTCATGAAAATTATGCACTTTGCAAATCTTAGTATGATCACTCTGATTAAGTTAGCAAAAACATTTTTATCAAGATTGAAACGTGTTAAAAATTGTTGTATCTTTTTAAAGGAAGTGGCAGCATTGACATCCCTGTAGTTTGTATGCTGATATCAGGGGAAACAGACATGCTGAAGGTACAGTCTTTTACAGCTTTTTATGTGAATTATTACAACAAAAATCGCAAATTCTAATTTAAATTGTGCCAATCTTTATTTCGTGGTTTTTGTAATGTCTGTCAGAGAATGGATCTCTCTTTAAAAAGCTGCATCCCCTGGCTGGTGCTGGCTGGCTCAGGGGGCTTGGCTGATTTCCTGAGTGATATCTTGGAGAACTGGTCTTCAGCTCCAGCTGTGCCGTCCTCTGGTGAAGGCAACAGTGAGGCTCCTAAAACCCCCAGTGTGGATCTCAAAGACAGAGTGACAGAACGGTTTAAGAAGCATTTTCCTTCAGAGGCACAGACCGACAAACTAGTTGAACGGGTGAGTGCTGAGAACAGAAACATTGTGTTGGCCTTTACTCTGCAGAAGAGTATGAGGAAAGACTTTTTATAGCCTGCATATCAGCAGCATGTCAGCTGCTTACTAAACTGTGTTCAGTTCTAATATTCATGCCCTCAGGGAGCTCGACCTTTTTGTCAGTTTTTCAGGATCGCAGTTCCAATTGATTAAAGTCAAACCCTCTTGCTTAATTAGAGGCTGTGCCATGAATGACATCATGAGTTTGAAAAGAACCTTTGTCACCAGTTTCTTCCTCATCATTGTCTGTCTTTACGAACATCTTTTTTCTAAAATATTTTGCATTGTTCCTGTTTCCTTTTCCCATCTTCTGTCTCCAGGCTTTGAGCATTTACCAGAACAAAGATTTGATTACAATCTACCAAGGAGAGCACGAGAGTCCAAATGACTTTGACACAGTCCTGCTTAAAACACTCGTGGGAGGTATGTAAGTAGGCAGTAATTTTACAAAATAGCAGCAACATGCACTTTTAGTCCTTATTTTGATTAATTTTTGTCGTGTTTGTGTTTTTCAGCAAGTAAGCAGCAATCATCAGTTGATGCCAGCCCTTATAGTGACGAGCTGAAACTAGCAGTAACGTGGAACAGGGTTGACATTGCCAAGAGTGAACTCTTCAATGGAGACATCCAGTGGAAGGTGAGGAGGGAAAAAGACATCACACTGAATGGAAATACTCTGAAGTACATTGTGCAGTTTATTATACCACTTCTGACAGATACAGTTTACCTATGATTCACAGAATACTTGGCTTAAAGTATTAACCTATCCTAAAACATGATCTTCTTCCTCCAATTAAACAGTATGAAGATTTGGAGGACTCAATGACAGATGCATTGATCAATGACAAGCCCCAGTTTGTTCGGCTTTTCACTGAGAATGGCTTGAATATCATGGAGTACCTAACTTATGGCAGGCTGGAAACCCTCTATCGCTCTGTGCCAGATGGGACCTTGCTCTATCAGCTACTACAACAGTGCCTAGCAGAGCGGCTGGCAATAGTGGAGCGTCACTCACCATCAGAAAAACAGAATTCATCCTCAAAAATGGTGAAAGATACGCATCAGGGTGGACCAGTGAAGGAGGTCACCCTTTTTGAGGTGAGTTTTCTAATCAACGAGATTCTGTCCTTTTTCATTAATTTTTCTCAAAGATTCATTAGATTCATTATGAATGTGAGGAAAACCTGATACTGTTGTGCTTATTGTCCCACCCACTGCTTCCTCAGGTGTCAGGGGTTCTGGAGCTGTTAATGGGTGATGTCTGCCAGCCTTTATACTACAAAGCTTTGGGCTTAGAGTTCACTTCATCCAAAAGGACGTCTCTGAGGGTACTTTGAACCTTTCAGAATAAACACACAGTGTACTTATGCTGGCTGCATTTCTATTTTTATGGTTAACATGACAATAAATGTTCTTATTTTTTTATTCATCCCAGCGTGCAAATAAGGTTCTGCGTGGAGATTCGTTCTATCGGCAGCTGCGCTGCCCCTATCCCTGGGCTTCACTCTTCCTCTGGGCTGTACTGCAGAACCGCAGTGAGATGGCCCTTTTCTTCTGGGAGATGGTAAACGCTCTGAGACAAACTGGTGTTCAGCTGGTTTGAAATGGATGGATTGTTATTTAAATAGAGCAGAGTTTTCAGGGGAAGTTGCACTATATTGGGCATGTGTGAGAATGAGCTGCAACTAGACCAGGGGTGAAACTTTTACGTTTCTGTCAATGTAACAACACTGTTCAAAGAAAAGAAATCACTCAGCACGACTCTTTGGACTTAAATTCTAAGGAATAAATGTGTAAAAAGTTCTGGTAGCTCATTGCCCAGACTGTCCAGTTTTTAGTTTTTTCTTTCATCCATAATGGTAAAAAATACCTAGAAATTTCTATAGTGATCAAGTTTGAAACCTTTTGTCATCCACAATGGAAAATGGTTGGGAATAAAAACTTGTATTACCTAATCCCACTCCCAATTCGATCAATTCTGCACTCTGCTTTCAGTCTCCAATATCATTGAAATGCAGCCACGTGCTGCTCATTTTACATTTTCACTCCTCTCTTTACTTTTCCTGACAAGCTTGCATTTAAATCTGACTCCCCCATCTCTCCGTCTACTGGGCTGTTTTCGGGACGTCTGCCTTTACATGTGAGATAAATCCCCACCCCCGTCTGCACATCCACATCCTGACGGGCCATTAATACCATTAATATGACGAGCCATTGGAAATGATCTGAGCCTGCGGGCTGTACATTTGACAACCTCAAACTAGACGCTGCTTACCGTGTGTCAAAGTTGTTCGAGTCAATTAATTGCAATATATTGTTAATTATTATTTTATGATCCTAAGGGGTAATTTTGTTAAATATTATACAATCATAGTGTTAAGTCTTAATATAAAATTAAATAATTGCTAAAAACATAAAGTAAAGTGATGTTGTAAATTGGTGATCTCCTTTCCAGGCAGGTGAGGCAGTCCTGAGTGCTCTCAGTGGCTGTAATATACTCAGAGACTTGTCCAAACTGGAGGAGGAGACTGAAACCAAACTCTCCATGAAAGAGCTGGCCCAGAAGTTTGAGAACCTGGCTCATGGTGAGACAGTAACTGCAGTTTTCCACTACACTGTTAGGATGGTTTGATATCTAGTTTTGCAATCATTTTATTTAATTTCCTTAGAATTTTCCTTTCAACAGCTGATGTAACACAATAGTAACAAATCCCATCGAACTCTTCATCACGTGTCTTGTCCACTTTATCTCAGATATTTTTAGCTCTTGTTATCGGAGTGATGAAAACCGTTCCTTCACCCTGCTAATTAGGAAGTCTCCAATCTGGGGTGACACCACCTGCCTTCAGATGGGCATGAGTGCCGATGCCCGGCTCTTCTTCAGTAATGATGGCGTACAGGTGTGTCATATTTGTCATTAATGTGAATGGCATTCCTTTCATCTAGCACATGGGCAATGAATCTGAATAACATCGTCATTTTCCAAAATATAGGTAACAAATGCAAAGAATGGAATGATATTTTGTAATGATTGTGAAAGTAAATGTTTGAAATAAAAATGAACTGAATGCTATTAAACAAATGAACATGAAATCAAAGGAAGCCATCATATTTATATAGAGAAAATATTGATCAGTTGAGGGAATAAAATGGGTC